GTTTAGGGTTGAGGGTTTAGGAGAATCAACTGGAAAAGAAAGTAGAGAATGAAATGGAACCTGGGATTATGTATGGGGTTTAAAGGCATTGCAGTGCAGAAGCCGAAAAAATATACAAAGGTTGCACAGGAACAATACAGGGCCAGGAGAAGCACATGTGGAGTTGCTGTTGCTGCTGAAGAACTTGAATTAAGTTACTACAATAAGGAAACCACATCATGACAACCCTAAACCCTATATACCCATTTGAGCCCTAGTCTAAACTCCTAGTATCCCTCTTGATAACCCCTATTATACCCGCATATATAGCCCCCTATATGACTAACTCCCTTAAAGGAATTTACACTATAGCTCATATCATGGTCCCTACGCCCTAAACCCTAATCAACTTAATCTAAATTCCTCCCTAAACCCTAAACCTTAAACCCTAAACCCTAAACCCTAACCGCAACCCAGGTAGTGGCCTGCCGACGGGCCAGTGTGCGGCAGCGTCTGGCAAGGTCCCAGCCTAATCTCATCTGCTTTGCTTACGAGTTCTTAGTAAAGTTTAAGGTTTAGGGATAAGGGTTTCAAGGTTTAATGAAATACATTAAGGGTTTAGGGTGTAGGGTTCAGAATTTGGGGTTTAGGGTCTAGCAGGTAATAAGGGAAGGTACTATGTAGGGATTATATAGGGATTATATTCCATCATGCCCTACTCAGAAGCAGTAAGTTTAGTGGCGTTGGGCGCAGCTACTGCCCCTAACACTAACAGTCCACGGTAGGCGTCAGAGCAAGATACGCATTATCCTGCTGTTGCTAGGTAAGCAGTACCCACAAGTTTAGAGGGCTCCATGAAAGCAAGTGTACTTGGCGTGCCCGAAGTGAAGCCATTTGCTAGTCCCCAACACATACACCCTATCATGATGATCTCAAAAGGGGTTAGGGTTTATGGTCCCCCTTAAGTAGGTAGAATACGGCAAGGTCCCCACATACCCCGTATTCTACCTAATGAAAGGGGGGACGGTAGTCTGGCAAACGTGGAATTTGCATAGGCTGGGGAGAGATCTGTTTCTGGGCTTGCTGCGAGCATCACGCGGAAGAAGCTGCACCGTGTCCTCCGATGGCACCTCCAAAACCAGCAAGCATGATTTCGGGATCAGGGTTCAGGGCTACTGACAAGCAGAGGGCTTCCTAAAAAGAGGGGGCATGGGACTATATAGCGCTTGTAGTATAGGTAGGGGTCCCCTTCAGGACTGCATAAGGATCACTTTGAAACACTCGGAAGAGCAATGGCAGAGAAACAAAGGCCTCCTGCGAGGAGGGAACGTCCAGAGTGAGGTCCACAGCTACACGAACCTGTAGCTTCAAGATTGGATCTGCGTGCAGCCTGCTAATCAAGACTAAGACTCACGCAAGGCTCATGCTAGCTGCACTGGCTCCTAAAGCAAAGCCCAGAACGCCCCGTAGGTCAAGTCGTTGTTCTACCCTTGGGGTTCCCTACGCTTACATTCTGCCATAAGCTCTTCACCCGAAACTCCAAATCCTGAACCGTACTGCGAACACTCGTTGGGGCCCCATGAATTCTAAATCCTACTAAGACTTGGCTTCAAAAGTCTCTTTGGGTCCCAGTCTAACCTAAACTACTAATAAGAATGTTAGTAATAGTAACAGGAACAGTAATGGTAATAGGAAGGGTAATGCTATAACAGCAGTAGCCAGAGAACTCATGATAGTGATAATAGTACTGGTCATCGTAATACTAGTTCACATTTTTTGTGACAACTATTATGAAATACGTGCAAACCTCAAACCTAAACCCTTCAACCAAACCCTAAACCCTAAACCCTCCAACCCTAAAGCAAGGATCCAAAGCTGTCCCGGTAAGTCCAGGCAGCACTCAGAGGCTTGTCTTCACCCTCAGCCAAGCCTTCGGATGCCACCTCTTCGGGCACTTAGATCCCTTTAGGGTTTAGGGTTCAGGGTAATGAGGTTTGGGGGGTTCTATAGGCATCAGAAGGATTACGTAGATCCCTTCAAGGGGATATGAATTCACGAGGCTTAGCCCTAAGGGTTAATCGGGCATGCGGCTTAGAGGTTTGAGGGGCTCAGGGTTCACGTTGGCAGGTACTCTAGACTAATTATACGCTCGAGAACTGGGAATCTTGTATCGCTTGTAAGGATTGCAAGTGGAGCCAGTAAGACTCCTGACCTGCCAAGTGCCCCTGAGGACCCATGGGACTTTCGCTTGGCGGGTCAGAAGGCCCCTGGGTTAGCCAGCTCATCGAGCTTTAGGGCCTACGGTTTAGGCTACTGAATCTCCGTTTCAAAACTCATTATGGCCTTTGTGTAGCCGCCCTTAATTAAATTCAGGGTCCACAAAATCAACTCCCAAGCGCTGCGTCATGTCACCTACCCTTCCCCAAACTAACATCGAAGCCCCACAAGGGCTCTGCAAAGGCTGCTGCCCGGGGAGTAAGGTTGTATCGGGATAACAAAAAATACTACATTATATAGGGGTTATATAGGGATCATGGAACATAGAAAGGAAACTGCTATAATTATAAATGTTAGATAGGGTTTAAGGCTGCCTTTTGAAAAGTGGACCATTTTAGTGCATATATTTCGGGTTTTATTGGGGTTATATTGGGATAACGCAAAATAGAATCCAAACTACTATTTAGGGCTTAGGGTTTAGGGAGTATTATTAGCCTACATCTTGATTTGAAGGATGCTAACCCCTGTGGAACCCTCGTTACACCTATGAAATACCTACATGTTACCTATAGAGGCCATACACCTTCCCTGCATAATTCCTACGGATTCCCCACATAATACCTACATCTTTCCTACATCACTCCTACATCTTCCCTGCATAACCCCTTAACCCTAGAGCCTGAACCCTAATCCCTAAACCCTACATCCCTAAATCCTAAATCCCTTATCCCTAAACCCTTTTTAAGGGACTGAGGTGCCGGCCTCCCTCAACCCTAAGCCCTAAACCCTAATCCCGAAGCCCTTGCCTCGAGGGCTGGCATCAGACCTTCGCATCGGGCCACCTCCTTGGCCAACTCCTCGGATCCACGGTTTAGGGTTTAGGGTTTGGGGTTTAGAGTTTGGGGTTTAGGGTTTGGAGTTCCGGGTTTGGGGTTTAGGGTTTGGGGTTTAGGGTTTAGAAATATAGGATATGTTACCTGATTGAGGACTATATGAGGGACTATACTCAACTATAAGAGAGACCCTTATATCCAGTGTTAAGGGTCGCTTAATACGGCCAATAATGACAGTACCTGAGCCCTAAACCCTAAACCCTAAACCCAGTTGGAATCCCCTTCTTCGAGAAGGCGCTGTTTGGGCAGCCTGACCGCAAGGCTAATCTTCCGTATGGCGCGAGCATAACTGCATATTCATAGGTATATACTTATATAGGGTTTAGGGTTTAAGATTAGAACACCTATAGACAATCGACATGAAATCGCTCATTTTTCCTTTGTAGAGTCGCTCATGGGCCCATCAGGCCACTTTTCTAAGCTTTGTCACGCCTGCACATGGCTTGTGACGGCTTGTGCTTACTCAGCTTATCTGCTTCTACTCGAATACTGCAACTAAGAGGAGAAATGACATACTCCGCACTGGGAACTATAGTAGCCCGTAAACAACGCTACTCCAACCAAATCCTAACCCTCAAGCATCAAGACCAATCAGCAAGCCCTACGGATCTTCGTTTGTGGCCCACAATCCCGGCAAAGGTACTGGACATTACCTTAGGTCAGTAATAGCCCCTAAATATGGAAGTAATAGGGCCTTTATATACCCACAATAGTACTGTGTGGTACCCATTGCTGGGTGGGGGAGCGACCCAAAAATTACCCCGTAAACTCTCCTAAAAACACCCCCGCCAACTCTGTGGCCAGATCAGGTTTCTGCATACCACCGGCCACGTTGGGAAGGGCAAAGCGTACAAGTCAGCAACCTTAGCTTGCTCAGGGATTAATGGGCCCTGCTAAAAAGGGCCTTATGCTGATTATATATAGCCCTTTGAGTAGATAGAATACGGAATTCTCCAAAATCATATTAAGATCCCCATAGACCCCATATTCTATCTACTTAAGGGGGACTGTAAGGTTAAGGAGGATGGAACGGAAAATGGAAACTACGACATTATAGGGAACACATAAGCTGAGGGGTCATGGAGAACCATATGGCAAAGAGTATGATACACAAATTGCAAACTTGGGTTCTTAAGTGTAAGGCTAAGAAGTGGAGGGCTTCTTGAGGGTTTGGGGTTTAGGGATGAGGGCTTCTTGCTGGTGGTGTATGGGGAGTTGGAGAGGGAACATGAGCAGTATCAGAACGGCGCTAATCTAATTTCAGCCGCCCAGTATTTCTTGCTGTCAAGATTTGAGTTTCGACATCTTTTGGACTATATATATTTGAGTTCACCAAAATACTCTCGAAAGCTCGTTTGGAGGTACCTTAAGAGCCGGCATCTATCAAGCTATCCTTGCTGCTCGGTCAAGGTGATATAATCGCTTCCCCCTGGTAATCCCCCCCCCCCTACGCAAACTATGGGTTCCCCAGAATTCCAAATCTGCCCCCAATAGTAATTCAAAGAGGGTCAAGACTACAAATTCATTACGGCTCTCGGCTACTCTGAACTAGGAAGGATTCCTAGCGCAACTCTTAAAGATCGGGGATCTCCTTGACATCTTAAAATTTGGTTGTTTTCTAAATGCTGATTTCATATCGCTTTCAAGTAGTTGGTAATTGAACTGTAATTAAACTTCAAATGATCTTAGTCGATAGTTGGATTGATGGGCTTGATTATGTTTTTACACTGCTTTTAATTTGGTGGTATTTAGATGTTCATCAGATTTCCATGGCTTTGAATTTGATGTTAATGCTTATTACGGTTCTAATTAGACTTGGTCGGCTTTAGATTTGACTTAGGCGACTTTTATTCGATTTTATGAGGATCCAAATACATAAGCCCCCTAATGTTCGGGTCGCACGATAAACACCCCGGCCAGCAGCAGTATCTAAGTTTGTCTGTTAAGTAGTATATGGGACTTCTTAACTAGGTTCTATGGGAATCCTGTAAGGTGACGCGTGTAGAGCGGCAATGATGCCCCTGAGGCACCTTTTTCAGAAACCCTAGCCCCAAGCCCTAAACCCTAAGCCTTACAGCCTGCAGCAGTTGTCCTTCAGCCCCGAAACCCAACTTTCTGGCTTTCAAGGAAAGTTGAAGCTTACCACCCTAAACCCGAAATCCTAAGCCCATTGGACAAGCAAGCGACAGTCTCAGGCGCCGGATCTTGGAAGCTTGGAGCTCAATCCTGTGGCCTTCACTTGCTGGCTGTTAGTAGGAAATAGAGGAATGGATCCGCACAGTGGGCTCCATAATCCCCAGTTATAGATGTATATATTATATATGTATATATACATATAGGAGCTACAGGCAATAGTTCCTACACACTTTAATGGGCATAGGTTCAGTATTAGAGACTATATTAGGGACTATACTAACCTTCAAGAGGGACCCCTATGCCCATTGTTAAGGGCCCCTTGATAGCCAAGTATTGACAAAGGCTCATGTATGGTCTCCTTCTTGGCCATTTGTCATTCCCTACTAACAAACAAAGCTCATGGAAAGCCAGCGCGCAGATTAGCGAAGATCTAGTGCGGGTTAATCTTTGCTCTCAAAGTAACCCTATTGAATCCAATGATAAATCCCGAATATATTGTACCATCATATATGTATGTTGGGTGCAATGTTAACTGTGAGGGGGTGGGGTGATTTTTTCTATGAGTTGGGAACTGTATAAATTACACCCCCTTCAAATCCCCTCAAGACATATTGGGAATTATGGGATCTGAGGAACTGTAGTAAAGCGGTTTTTGAAGAAACTTGCATAGACCCTGCCTGATTCAGGTGACGTCGGGAAACTAAACTGGCTAGATTGGCAGATTTATCTAGGTGCTTCGCAAATGATCTAAGTCAGATCTTCTAAGCAATCTCATGCAGCAAAGCCATTCTGAGGACGCAACCAACAGCAGGCGAATGCAGCACGGAATGGTGCAGGGCCTTCCCAAAAGTCTGAAACTATCGCATCCCAGATACAGCCACTGCACTCCCAGCTACGCCTACGTGCTGCCGCCCACACCAGCGTTCATCTCCACAACATGCCGAATTCCTGTACGCGCTAGCCTCAGCGTAACACCACGCAGCTGTGAAGCGCCGCCGGAACGGATCCCGGAATTTGGCGCTTTCAAAGTCGTTCAAGCGTACCTGGATTCAAGATAGGGCAACATAAGAAATGAATCGGCTTATTCTAGATGCGGTTTGTCAAAATGGAGGGGTACCGTACCTTTAAATACCTGCAGGGACCCTACTGTAAGGCTTTACAACTTATGTATGGAGATGGGAACCTTAGGCTCCAAGGAAAAAATTATGACAAGTTGAGGCCCGAATGTCTAAAAACCATGATTCTTCCAGGGGGTGTAAGTGTAAGTTCTAAGCTGGCTATGAATGCTTTGACCCTGGAAACTTCCAACCCTAAACCCTAACTAAACTACCTTAAGAGCATCCCAGGCGCTGCCAGCAAGGCGCTCTGCAAGCCCTCTTCCGCCATCTGTGCGTCCGCGTTGGCGCGGTCTAGGCACGGGCGGATCCTCTCCTGGTTGTGGTGTAGCCCCTTGATTTGTTTAGGGTTTAGGGTTATGGGCCCTTTATACTAACACGGCTTAGGGTTGAGTGTGCCAGTATGCGAGGTGGCATGGAATTATCTCAACATGGGGGTGCTCTTGCCCTAGGAATGTAGTGGGCCAACAGGAGATTGTAGGGAGCTCTCTTCAGGCTGGTGGCTGATTTTTGAAACTCCAGATTACATGATACGGACAATCATGCGAGCTACAGCCCCCTAGCAACCCCTATAATAGTCCCCTGTAGATCCCCCTTTAAGGATAAACCCTAAACTACTCCCTAAACCCTAAACCCTAAACCCCACCCTTTAAGGAGTTTAGAGTATAGCTCATGTCACCGGGCCTGGAGCCTCTCCAGGCCAGCAAGCAGGCTGCGTGCTTCCACAAAAGCCTGCGTTGCTGTTAAGGAACTTAATGAAGGTTACCATACTGGGGATATAGGATATACAGGGCTTAGGGTTTAGGGTTCAGGAACTTAAAATACAATGGGTATACAGGACATATAGGGTTTAGGGTCTACTTAGATTAAGTTACCATAATGGGTATATATAGAGTAAATAATAGGGTTTCCCCAATAAAGTAACGTAATTTGAGTTCCTTAACGGCAACCCAAAAGCATCCAGCGAAGCGCGATCTACAAAGAGTGGTGGAGCTGAGCAATCGGGCTGAAACGCAAAGTCGGGCCAGCGGGTGGAGAAGACGACATAGGACGAATCCGGCGCGCCGCAGGTCTCCAGGCGAAACCTCGCCCAGATTTGAAAAACACGGTTTAGGGTTTAGGGNNTAGGGTTTACGGTTTAGGCTTGGCATAATGCGAAATTCTCAGGAAGGATGACGTATCAAAGCATCAACAAGATGGGCTGTTTCAGAATCTGGCAACCCTCAACCCCAGACGTGCCTACACAAAAACCCATGCATAAGACCTGAGCCCAAAAAAGAACCCAAAAAAAAACAAACAAATACAAAGTTCTGCTTTTTGGATCTTCCTGGGAACAGCTCGCCCAGCACTGCCAAAGCTCTACGGCCCGGTGTGGGTGCGACGCAGACCCAGCGGCCCTGGGCCAAGGCCTGTGCCACAAGCTGCGCCTGCAGGATTCAAACAGGAGTGTAAAGTATATGACCCATAGTATCCCCCTTAATAATGGAGAATCAAATGGAAAAGAAAATGGAAAATGAAATGCAAACTGCTATATATAGGGTTATGTAGGGGATTATAGGGGTTATAGTCTAAACTCCTA